TCCTCTCAAGCATGACAACCTCCACCTGCCTCCCCCTCCCCCCTACACTATGGTGTAATCATATATCAGCTGGTGGTAAAAGGGTGTTGTGAACCCACATCACACAGCTCCCAGCACTCTTTTCAAACATGAAAAACCTCCACCTACGTCCCCCTCCCCCCTACACAGAGGTGTAATCATATTTAAGCTGGTGGTAAAAGGGTGTCGTGAACCCACATCACACAGCTCTAAGCACTCTTCTCAAGCATGACAACCTCCACCTGCCTCCCCCTCCCCCCTACACAGAGGTGTAATCATATATCAGCTGGTGGTAAAAGGGTGTTGTGAACCCACATCACACAGCTCCCAGCACTCTTCTCAAACATGACAACCTCCTCCTGCCCCGCCCCACCCCCCTACACACAGGTGTAATAATATATCAGCTGGTGGTAAAAGGGTGTGGTGAACCCACATCACACAGCTCTCTGCACTCCTCTCAAGCATGACAACCTCCACCTGCCTCCCCCTCCCCCCTACACTATGGTGTAATCATATATCAGCTGGTGGTAAAAGGGTGTTGTGAACCCACATCACACAGCTCCCAGCACTCTTTTCAAACATGAAAAACCTCCACCTACGTCCCCCTCCCCCCTACACAGAGGTGTAATCATATTTAAGCTGGTGGTAAAAGGGTGTCGTGAACCCACATCACACAGCTCTAAGCACTCTTCTCAAGCATGACAACCTCCACCTGCCTCTCCCACCCCCCTACACAGAGGTGTAATAATATATCAGCTAGTGGTAAAAGGGTGTTGTGAACCCACGTCACACAGCTCCCAGCACTCTTCTCAAGCATGACAATCCCCCCTCCCCCCTACACCATGGTGTAATCATATATCAGCTGGTGGTAAAACGGTGTCGTGAACCCACATCACACAGCTCTCTGCACTCCTCTCAAGCATGACAACCTCCACCTGCCTCCCCCTCCCCCCTACACAGAGGTGTAATCATATATCAGCTGGTGGTAAAAGGGTGTTGTGAACCCACATCACACAGCTCCCAGCACTCTTCTCAAACATGACAACCTCCTCCTGCCCCGCCCCACCCCCCTACACACAGGTGTAATAATATATCAGCTGGTGGTAAAAGGGTGTGGTGAACCCACATCACACAGCTCTCTGCACTCCTCTCAAGCATGACAACCTCCACCTGCCTCCCCCTCCCCCCTACACTATGGTGTAATCATATATCAGCTGGTGGTAAAAGGGTGTTGTGAACCCACATCACACAGCTCCCAGCACTCTTTTCAAACATGAAAAACCTCCACCTACGTCCCCCTCCCCCCTACACAGAGGTGTAATCATATTTAAGCTGGTGGTAAAAGGGTGTCGTGAACCCACATCACACAGCTCTAAGCACTCTTCTCAAGCATGACAACCTCCACCTGCCTCCCCCTCCCCCCTACACAGAGGTGTAATCATATATCAGCTGGTGGTAAAAGGGTGTTGTGAACCCACATCACACAGCTCCCAGCACTCTTCTCAAACATGACAACCTCCTCCTGCCCCGCCCCACCCCCCTACACACAGGCAGGCCTTAAATTAATCGACGGCCATCGACGGCCAGGCCGTCGATGCCCCTATGACTGGCCGCGGTGCCCTCCCAAAAAAAGATAAATTCACGGCCAAAAAGGCCGTGCCCTTTTTTTCAAACTGGCCGACGTGCCTTTTTTCCAACTGGACGTGCCCTTTTTTTCTTAAATTTGCGCACATAAAACCACCAATTGCGCCCATAATCATCTAAAACTAGACGGCAAGGCGCAAGTGTTTTCCGTGAAAATGCGCCCATAAATTATTAGAACAGTAAAAATACACGAATCACGAACAGTTTGCCGCCCACGAGCTCTCTTCTAGCTTCGTATTTAGTGCTTTAATAAGGCGCAAGTGCCGTGAAAATGCGCCCTTTGTTATTATATAGGCAATGCGCTAGCGCACGTGCATGCTGTTGACGCACGCACGTACGTACAAATCGAAGGCCAGGATCAAGAAAACAAATCGTCAAATGGAGAAATAAACAAGCATTCAAATAGTCATTAGAGATCTGTCGAGGTTTGTTTGTAGGTCTAGTTTATTATTTTACCTCAAATAGAATTTAGAATTATCTTATTAATAAGTTAAGAACATCTACGATGTTCTCGATCGCAGTTACTCTCATTTTGCCACCAGCCGACCTCGCTTCAAAAAGCTACCCCGCCAGCTTCCCAAGACGAACGTTTCGAGTCCCGGTAAAATTACGCGCTGCGAATCTCCGAGGGTGCATCGGTTTCGCTGGCAAACTTCCAGCCCGACAGCTTCCCACCAAAAGTGGCGAGAGTGTGTGTGCGAGGAACGATTTTGGTTTCGTGAATGCACGTTACGCAACTGAGCTGAGCGTGTCACTTTCAGCTCTCGAATGTCTATAAGGACATTTTTACATCTTATTTCATTAGTTAGGCCTATCTAGACCTTTCTATACAACAGTTAAAAAGATAATTCCTCCAAATTTGCTCCTACTACCGAGAGAGTGGCGGAAGGTTTGTGTGTGAGGTGCGATTTTGATTTGGGATACCCGGCCCGGTAAACTTGCCAAGTCCTTCTGACTTTCGATGTTTGTGAAATTGACAATTTATTTATTCATTTGCTCATCAATATTTTTAGTTACTTTAAAATACTGTATGCGCAAGTTTGATGTTCATAATCAATCTTTCCTGTTCATATTGTTAAGATTAAAAAGTTATTAAATTGATCGTTCGATCTATTCACATTATGAAATTAACATTTGTAGACTCTCTTTGAACTTATAATTAGATAAGGGGCCTATCTGTTTTTGGAAAATTGCCCCTTGCTCTGGTAAATTCCCGTGGCAAAGGGTAACTTTAAAAAAAATTGCCCCTTGCTCCTGGCTGCTAAATCTAAGGCTTGCGGGCCGCCTTGTTTGTATGTACCTTAGACCTCTATACATTCTGTGAAGAAGCTGGTGCTAAAAGTCATGGGAAATTGATCCCGCACAAGTTTCATAAAATACACATGACATCTAACAAAAATAGAATCAATTTTTTTGGCCTCGTACTCGATGCCCTTTTTGTAAAATATTTTGGCCTCGATGCCCTTTTTGTAAAAATATTTTGGCCTTGGTGCCCTTAAAAATATGAGGTACTCAAGGCCAAACTGGCCTTGCCCTAAAAATGACGAAATTTAAGGCCTGCACAGGTGTAATAATATATCAGCTGGTGGTAAAAGGGTGTGGTGAACCCACATCACACAGCTCTCTGCACTCCTCTCAAGCATGACAACCTCCACCTGCCTCCCCCTCCCCCCTACACTATGGTGTAATCATATATCAGCTGGTGGTAAAAGGGTGTTGTGAACCCACATCACACAGCTCCCAGCACTCTTCTCAAACATGACAACCTCCTCCTGCCTCTCCCACCCCCCTACACAGAGGTGTAATAATATATCAGCTAGTGGTAAAAGGGTGTTGTGAACCCACGTCACACAGCTCCCAGCACTCTTCTCAAGCATGACAATCCCCCCTCCCCCCTACACCATGGTGTAATCATATATCAGCTGGTGGTAAAACGGTGTCGTGAACCCACATCACACAGCTCTCTGCACTCCTCTCAAGCATGACAACCTCCACCTGCCTCCCCCTCCCCCCTACACAGAGGTGTAATCATATATCAGCTGGTGGTAAAAGGGTGTTGTGAACCCACATCACACAGCTCCCAGCACTCTTCTCAAACATGACAACCTCCTCCTGCCCCGCCCCACCCCCCTACACACAGGTGTAATAATATATCAGCTGGTGGTAAAAGGGTGTGGTGAACCCACATCACACAGCTCTCTGCACTCCTCTCAAGCATGACAACCTCCACCTGCCTCCCCCTCCCCCCTACACTATGGTGTAATCATATATCAGCTGGTGGTAAAAGGGTGTTGTGAACCCACATCACACAGCTCCCAGCACTCTTTTCAAACATGAAAAACCTCCACCTACGTCCCCCTCCCCCCTACACAGAGGTGTAATCATATTTAAGCTGGTGGTAAAAGGGTGTCGTGAACCCACATCACACAGCTCTAAGCACTCTTCTCAAGCATGACAACCTCCACCTGCCTCTCCCTACACAGAGGTGTAATAATATATCAGCTGGTGGTAAAAGGGTGTTGTGAACCCACATCACACAGCTCTCTGCACTCTTCTCAAACATGACAATCCCCCCTCCCCCCTACACCATGGTGTAATAATATATCAGCTGGTGGTAAAAGGGTGTTGTGAACCCACATCACACTGAAAATTCAGGTGGAAATGCGATATAGACTATGATTATGATTAAAACTAGTAAAAAATTGGGTTAAAATTCTTTTGCTAAGAATGGATACAAAACTGCTAAAAAAAATGGATACAGAAGTACACTAGCACCACAATTTGCTCATCTATTTTGTAAAATTCGTCTATATCCTACATCTAAATGGATTGGAAGTCAATGTCAAGTTGACCATTAATTAATCTTTTAAATTTTTGAAGCAGGCGAGAGGCCGCGGTGCATTGCCATTGCGCTTCTCTGTGGTCTCTCACCGTTTCACTTTTAGCCTTTAGGGAGTCCCATTCTGCCATTCAAGAATCAAGTTGATTGAGAAGTTTAGTTACACCATGATAGAATAGCTCTCTGACTCTGAGTGATCTACCCGATTTGAGTGTTACTTTTAGAACATTCACCTTAGGCTTTTCCAAGACAATGGTCGATGTCACTTTCTTTCTGATCTTGATAGGAGTTGGAGACTACACAAAATTCGACGGTTGGGACTGTAATGTAGTAATTGGCTCACAGAAAAGATTATTATTGATTCAGCTAACGAATATAATTTAACCCATCTATTGATCTAATTAATCGAAGTGAAAGATCCCGTTTATTAAATAATAACTAGATCTAGGTAGCCTTGTTCTCAATAAATGACATGCACATCAGCTCAGGAAAAGGATATAAATGGCCTCACTCGAACAGCAACTTTCACGTTTTCCCCCATCTTGAATAAGGTTCCTTGGCAACACTACGCCAATCGCTCGCGATCTTTACATTACCGCTCGCTCCGCCCAAGGCTACAGCGGGGTTGCGCTGCCTTCGCTAGCGCTGGTATAACTTTTTGGCTAGCCTATCAACTCGCTCGCCAACCGGCTCCCCAATGCAATGCAACCCAGCGCCCCTTTTGGGCTAGGCGAGCTCATTCATGCATGACGAATACTCTTTTATTTTGAGTTGTGTGCCCCACCCCCTCCATATTTTAGGGGGGAAAAGAGCCAGAGATTTATCTGAATTTTTTCATTTTCACAGTCCTTTTCCCGATACAATTGCTAATCTTGCCCTCTCGATCAGCATCTAGCTAAAACCACCAGTACATTTCGTGGGTAATTAATTTGGTAGCTCCCATTTCCATCTAGTAATTGGATGGCTACCAGTTTTGTGTTCGATGGGTCACGTTACCAGGCTGTTTTCAGGCAATGTTTTAACTAATGTTTTCACCAATTAGCCTTCATGTTGCAAAATATAATGCATGGATGCTTTAATTGCTGGGAATCATTATGTTAGCATTTTCATCGATGTGAAGATATAAATAACCCTCTTTTAGTATTATTTACTATCATCACTAAAAATTTATTATGGATATGTTTGTTATGCATGCAGCAGTTGACTTTTTTTTTGTCATATCCCATTATCATATTTCGTTTCTCTCTCTCTCTCTCTCTCTCTCTCTCCCTCCCCCTCCCACCCTCTCCCTCCCTCCCTCCCTCCCTCTCTCTTTCTCTCTCTCCCTCCCTCCCTCTCTCTCTCTCTCCCTCCCTCCCTCCCTCTCTTTCTCCCTCTCTCACTTTTTCTTTCTATCTCCTCTCTACTATATTATTATATTATCACTCATTATCATAAACAATAGTAGAAGAAGAAAAAGAAGAAGAAGAAGAAGTAGTAGTAGTAGGAAGAGGAGGAATGCTAGTAATACTACGTTGAAAATCAAAACTGCAACTAAATATAAAGCTTCTACTCCTACTTTTGCAAATTTTGCAACTACTAAAAGCAGAGGAGGTATATCAAATATAAGGTATCCCAATAGTGAAGGGAGATCACTCCATTCATTTGGTACATAATTATAGAAAAGAAAAATACACACAAAGTCACATGGACACGGATAGGATATAAATTTCATTTCAATGAATTCATTTCATTATTTATTTGCAAATTTTTTTCGCTTCCGCTTCGATACGCTATCCGAAGCAAGCCTTTTAAAGATACATAATTTATCATACATTAGTAAATTCACAAACTATTATAATAAATTCAACAAATTTCTGATGTATGCTTATTTATACTCAAGTGAAACTCAAAGCGCATACCTCAGCTTAAATCATAGAGTCAAGCTGACTGAATACCTGAAGAAGGAGAATTTCTGAAGGTATGAAAAGAGAAGGAAGCCTCGAAATACCAATCACTTGATGTATACCATGTACCTGTAAATATGGTGACTGCCCATTTGTTCAAATATCTGATTCTAAGTCAAAGAGTCATGAACATAAAAGATTGCTGTCAGAATATAAAGTTTAATGTTGATGATCTAAATGGCTACAACCCAAGAGACAAATAGCCCACGACACAGGAAGCACACAAAACTGACTGTGAAAGCTTTTCATTTTTCTACCGATTGTGGAGAACAAATTTTCATATCTTTGTCAGTCTCATAGGTTGTCTGTCTACTTGGATGTCCTGAATATAAACAAGGTGTACTGAATCTGCAAACCAATGGGCAATCGCCACATATATACTACATACACTTTGTCTTCAAAAGAGCAAAGAAAATGAAAAGATATCTGCTCATTCTAATCAACTGCATAACTAATCAAATTTTGCTTTAATGCTTTTCAAGTTTTTATATCATTGCTAATTAAAGCTTTCCTCTGCAACTCTGGGGAAATAATGATAATGTACTCAGTTTATTAGACAGGATCAAAGTGATGCCCTTTCATGTAGGAAAAGCTAGAATATTTCAAACGTATTAGAGTTGATTTATTTTTTTAAGGTAATAAACAATGATCATAATTTTGATATGGATACAGCTACTATGGAAAGAAATACATGTACATAGTTTGAATGACATAATTAGTATCACTCCTAATGAATATTCATAAGGTTCAAAGCTTATGATTTACATACTGCACCTGAACTATGATGTAGTTATCTAATGATCTAAATATTCTCATGATAGGACGAATGTATCATTGATGCTTTTTCAATCAATATTATGCCTCATAAACGAGAGCTTTCGATCTAGTTCATATTCTATTAATGCGGTAAACCCAAACCTGGGTCTAATATCACATTTGATAAAAGGGAAACTTAGTCCTCAAACTATCTTTCTTTGTTAAACCTGATTTTGAACAAAAACCTACACCCAGCAGTTTGACTTTTAGTAGAATATGGGTCTTTTATTGTAGTCATTGGACATTTGATGAAGTGAAACATTTTCTAGAAAAGCGCTAAACTGTTAAATATTTGTGAAGGATCGACAACTGAAACATAACTGAACTGAAAACAAAAGTGGATCAATCTTTATACTTCAGTACACTTATAGGTCTTTTCTTAGTACACTTTCACAGATACCATAGAGTCTGGCAACAATAGTCACAAATGACTAATCGCCAATAAGCCCAAAACAGAATAAGAAGATTCTAACTGATTTCTACATCCATGTCCAAGCAAGGAAATAATGAATTACCGATATATTTGCAGTTTATTTTGATGAAGAATACATGCATTTCTCCAAGGTGCTGTTTTCACTTCATCTCCTCTAGCAATGTCCAGATAAACTATTGAGCGCCAGAAGGGTGCTATTACGTCTATGTAAAGAAAGACTTAAAGGCCCTTTGGCTCTGAGCAGACATACTAACACACAAATACACACAGCTTTATTATGGATGAAATGCAGTTATTGAATAAACAAAAATTATGAGGGGGATCATAACACAATTAATGAAATAATGCTCATTTACTGCAAGAAGGGGGTTAACTCCAATCATGGCAGATTTAAACTAGATTTTACTAGGCACTAATTAAGCAAGGTCTTTTTGCAGCTTAAACAAATAATTCATTACAAAAATAAAAACCCTATGCACACCAAATGCTTTAGAGACATCAAATGCACTGTTACAATCAAACTCTGAAGTAATCAAGCAGGTTTATACCAAGACCACCTGTCTGTAAAGTTAATTCTGGTTTACTTTTGACAGCAGTCCTTCGAGTCAAAGCAAACTTGCTTTAACAACCACCTGTCTATAAAGACCGCTTTCCCCTTTCACTAAAGACAAGGAGCCTCTACTGGTTTGAATGTAACTGTTTAAAGGCAAAAGGAAACAAGTCCATGTGGCTTTTACGTTCCTCTGACTCTCACAAATAATAATTGATGTACTCTTATAACAGAGGAAATAACAGATTCTACTTGGTTGGTTTGCACTAAACATATTAGCAATCATGAATGAATTGTGATTTTAATAATCATTTTACACAGGTCTAGCAAAGGTGGGGAAATTGTTACGATAATCTAGAATTATTGCCTTCTGTTTGACTACTTTTATTTTGCACTTAATTGTTGTACAATAATATTTACAATTGGTATAAACATGTAAGCTGAATTTATAGAGGAGAACTGAATTGCAGCTTGTTCACAGTGAAATTTTTATTCATGTTCAGCATTTTGGTCAATTACATTAAACTTCAACAGACTTTGATTAGCAGTGAAGTTTGCAATATATTCGCTTTTTAACTTAAATGACAGGTTTCGTGTTTTGGGGCAGAAAATGAAAACATTTCATACAAAAGGACGAATATCTGCAGTTCATTTTTCAAGTAAAAGAACAACTTGGTACTGTCATCAACCAAAAGAAATGAAAACTCTCATGAATGGAAAATTTGTTTTATTTACTTGTGATTCGTCTGTTAGAACTATTACATATTTAGATTTTTCATTCGATTTAACATCTATTGACAAACATTTCAATTTTAATATGTGCCTTTACTATAAACCATATGATACTTATTGCATTTTGATCAAGGATACAAAGTGGGTTATTATAAAATATAACTCTACTCTACTCTTCCTAGAAATAAATATGGCTATTTGAGTATTCCAAAGTTAATAATAGACGATAATAGCACTTTTATTCAAATAAAATCTATGAAAAGAATGTGACAATGAGGCTTGTATTACAATGCACTTCCTTATTTGTTCATCTGCATGTACAGTTATTTGGAGTTCAATGAAACTACAATGTATATGCACCATCTGCACTTGTGCTGAATATTCCTCATTTCAAACCAAAGGATTTAACACCTGCCTGCTACAAACACTTTAGTTACTGTTTGACTATGGTGCATCTCAGGAAATGAAAATGACAATCTCGTATTTGGAAGAAAAGCACTCTATTGCCTATAGCAGGCAGCAAAATGGGACTAAATAATAACAATTAATAATAGCTTAAAACATAAATGATAATAATAATAATAATAATAATAATGCAATGTCAGGTGCATTGAAGCAATGGAAGACTATCGTCACACTTAAAACAATACTGCCCTCTTTTGTTCAAATGGAAGCAAGAGACAGCAGAGTACACTGTAATGTATTTGTGAGAATGTGCCTAAAAAAAAACAAAGAGAGAGAGAAATGATAAAAGTGAGTATGGTGTGTTAATAGGCGCCGTCTTTCTTTGTACAATGAAAGAATCCTCTTACAATAATAGTGTGGGCATAGTCATGCTTGAGCAATCTATAATACAAGAGATGTGAAGTTTGTGCAAATTGTCACTTGTTCCCTTTCAGCACTGATCGGGCAATTGCGCTTGCTTATTAAAATGTACATCACAGGAATAGTATAGAGAAGGACAGAGAAGGGTGAAATAATAGATTGATTTTGCTATTGATCATGTAAGCTACTATAAGTACACCTGTACATCGAGATAGGGAATCTGCTTTGGATATTAAGAGTTTTCAAGAGAAATTGGCTTCTTCCTGAATTGTTTATGCTGAAATACATCCCAGAAAGAGACAGACAGAGACAGAGGCAGACAGAGACAGAGGCAGACAGACAGACAGAGGCAGACAGAGGGAGAGAGAGATAGATAGAGAGAGAGAGAGATGATAATGATGTTGATAGTGATATGATAATACAAGGTATTGTTATATTAAAGCGTTCTAACAGCATATTCAAAATACACTACAAAAATTAACTATGCTTGAACCTACTTCAAAACATTTTAAGCACCTTGTCAAGTCTTAAATCTTATTTCCATAACGTGTGTGTATACAGAATTTAAAAAAAAATTAAACAAGCCTAAATGATTAAGTGAAATGTTCAGTGATACAGATAACTTTACACCATATCAATTAGAGTAACAATTTTTGCTAGGGGCTCTTCATTTTAGTCAGCTTTCTTTGGCACCGAGAACCAGCACAAATTTTATTTATCTTTTTAGGAATCCAGCAAAGGGCAATTAAAATTTATTTTTTAAAGCTTGCATTGCTCTTTTCACTCTGTCTTATTAATTACACCACCAAAAAATATAAGAAATTAGACCTTAACTGAGGCTTAATTACTGTTCTTTCACACAATAAAAACTGAGCATACAATGTATATGTGAAAACTATGCATTTTACAGTCTATATCAAATGATTTTCGATGTATCACAATAAGCTGTGCAGGAGTTAAAATTCAAATACTATATTCAACTTTTTTGGATGAAGGCCCGAAAAAATGTAAGATGTCAGGTTCAACATTGTTGGACAAATCCTTCTAGCCAGAATTAACTGATATGACATTCAGAACAGTGTTACACAGTGTTGAGTTCACACTGCTCCTGAACGGTGTAACATAGTGTTGAGTTAACACTGCTCTGAACAGTGTTACAGAGTGTTGAGTTAACAATGCTCTGAACAGTGTTACAGAGTGTTGAGTTAACACTGCTCTGAACAGAGTTACAGAGTGTTGAGTTAACACTGCTCTGAACAGAGTTACAGAGTGTTGAGTTAACACTGCTCTGAACAGTGTAACAGAGTGTTGAGTTAACACTGCTCTGAACAGAGTCACAGAGTGTTGAGTTAACACTGCTCTGAACAGTGTAACAGAGTGTTGAGTTAACACTGCTCTGAACAGTGTAACAGAGTGTTGAGTTAACATTACTCAGAACAGTGTTACAGAGTGTTGAGTTAACATGGCTCTGAAAGTGAAGGACATATGTACTCTGAAGATTAAATACAAGCTTAAAATATATTAAACAGCCATCAGTGTTCTGGCTTTCTTTTGATGAATTTATCCAATCGTTTCTGTAAATGCGTGTTTGAAGTCTCCATCTCCTCAATTTTCTCCCGTAATACTCGGAGCTGAAAAGAAAAGAAAATGACAACAGTACATTAAGCTGTGATAATGATGATGACTTACTCACAATATATAATGTACATCAAAGCTCTTTAACCATTTGTATGCTTTGGTTGACAAATGGGACAACCATTAAGACTGTCAAAGTCAACTTTTGTCACACATACTGTGTGTACATAGAATAAACTCCAAACATGTAGCAGTCAATGACTTTAACAATTGACTACTTATAAAGCGATACCGAACTGATGAACCTTCTGCCCCTGGTTACCGTTTATTGCACAGTGCCATTTCATGGTCAACTTGCCAACAATGCCACTTTACGCTTCGCAGACAGAGGATTCAAATCGAGAACCAACTGTATAGCTAGGGAAGCAGGGAGTTACGGGATCATACTGCTACAGCTGATCTGAGATGAAGCTAGAGGGGATTTCATGGAAGTGCTTCTAGTACAGTATGGCACACATATATAAAACTATTAACCATTACATCTTTTTATTGAATAACATTTTTCAATTCTGTTCATTCTCTATTAATGTACATGTACATCTAAACGTATCTGCCAAATATTTTCTCCACAGTAACCTACAGGAAATGCATATCTAGAGCTGAGTCGAGTCCACATGCATACCCAGGTTACAAACAAAAATAACTGAAAGATTTTAAAATCGAGGGGTAAATCAGTCTACAAAAACCTCATTATTTTTAAACGGCCTTGATCAAAACATTTGAATTTGAAATGAAAAAAGTAATTTTGAGTATATTTTTTTTTATTCATTTGTGTAAATGTAGAGTCATTGATAAAAGGATACTTGAGTATTCAAAGAAATTTATTTGTCAAACTCATTACATATGATGTACATTACTCCATCCGAAAAAAATAAACTATTTTATTCCACACAGAATAGCTAAAACTGAAAACTAAGTCTACATGAATGTAACCAAATGTTAGGGATAGAGAAAGTAAAGAAAAATGCAAATTATCTTTCTGATAAAGCTACTACATTTAATATTTACATGAACATATTGTTTGCAATGATCAAATGATTCTTCTTAGAAAGGTCAATACTGTCCAAAGAGAGATAAAATATTGAGTAGCAAATACCTTGGAGAAGCAACTGAAACATGCAAAGTTTTCTAATTGTACAATAAGCCACCAAGTTCCTATAACTAACAGGCCAACTAGCCTTCAATGAGCCCCAAAAGCATGACCAAAGCAACAAGTTTGTGATTGGCTGATCATTTAATGGGAACAATTAGGACCCTTGCAATTTTAAAGCACCCCTGGGTAATCTATACACCATTCCATTATCACAACCAGACACTATTAAAGCCCTGATACTACACTAAATGAGAATTGGCTCCTCCTTGCATTTTTCTTATCTTATTGCAAAAACAGATCTTGACTACCGGTATTTCTACACCTTTCCCCCAAATAAACAAGGAATGGAGGAACACAAAATGGGGGGAATACCCCCAAAAATATGAGCCCTTCACCGAACCAAAATAAAACTCCATTTATAGCTGATTGAGAGGAACCCTCTACTGAACCAAGTAAGATACTTGTTACCTATAAATGGAAGCCATTTCTTTAATAAATGGTGGCTAGAAAACTTTGCATGTGTCAGGATCGCCTTCCTTTGGCTTTTCCTTTTCCTCCTCTTCCTTCTCCTCCTTTTTAAAACCACAATGTTTGTTTTGAATGGAAGGAGAATGTACAGTGAAATAGAAAGAAAAAGAGTTAGTCCTCTCGGAAGTCCCATTAAAAAGATTACTGTAAAACCAGAAATTTTCGTAAATTTTGCGATTGTTTCAGTTTCGTGAATTTTACATGCTGCAAAATAGGTGAATGACAACCGAGGTGACACTGAATTTTGGCAATTTGCAAAAATGAGCATCGTTTACGACTTCCTTAGGGTTAAAGTTTAAAGTCTGGTTTTACAGATGATTAGAGAGACCCTTAGGCTTTCATTTGTGAAGACCTTGGCCCCATTTCACAAAACTTGTCATCAGTGACAAATGAGAGTTTGTGTTATAAGCTAGTGAAATCTTGCTTCTGATTGGTTATCAGCAGACTTGTCAATGATTTTTGTCATTTGTCATTTAAAAAAGGCTTTGTGAAACGGGTCCCTGATCTATCTTGTCAAGGTACATCCACGATTGTGCAAGAAAGAAGAACCCCATGTGTCAAGAAGTTTCTCCCAGATCTGACTGAAATACACAGCAAATACTGCCATCAATCTTGTTTTTAACGGTTGTTAACATCACTTTACTGGTACAGAAGTGTGAACTATCAAATAAATAAATAAGTGAGATTTAGTAACCTACCTACATAATGTATGCTTATGAAATGTGAACATAACTAAATCTTCACTATTCAAGAGAAGTGCAAGAACCCTACATCCTAAATTAACAGCTGAAGGAGTAAAATACCAACTAAAATTATGGTGATCAACAAACTAAGGAACAAAAACACAGAACCACTAAGGTTAAAATATAATTACCTCTCTTGACATTTTTCTCTTTTCTAGTTTAAGATCTTCTTCGTTCTTTTCTGCTACGTCCGCTGATGTTTTATATCTTCTGACCTGTCCTTCAAGTCTGACAACCTAGAAAAAAAAGAAAAGACAAAACCAATTTATATTTGACCTGAATTGAATGGTTTATTGAGAAAAATGAAAAAGTGTTACACGTCATATTTAGAATATGAAGGCATTTGAAGAGCCATGCTTTTCTCTGATATTCTTCCACACTTGAATAATAGCATTGAAAATGCTCACAAATAATTGTTCACCTCTCCCCAGAACTCAACTTTCTCTTTAAAGCCATGGTTTAATTATTTTTTAAGACAGGATTTAATTTAAGGGCTAAATTGATTACACGATGTTGTTCAAATTGGCAACAATAATGTTTTTCATTTGTTACTGAATTGTTCAAACAAAATGTAATGTCTCTAAGAACAGTAAACATGTAGGTCTTTGTCAAAAAGTCAAGGGCATTGCCAATTTTGATCAAAAGTAATCATTCATAATCTCTCACTGTGTTGCCAATTTATGGACTTTTAAAGGCATCATTTAACAATGTTAAATCTGAGATACATGGCCCTACGTGTTATCAGTGTCTGTGATATGGTGTAATATTGAAGCCCTAAAAAAAATTGCACTTCAAAATGATCAAGAAGTGCCTCAAAAATGTTAAAGTCTTTGAGAGACCGGTTTTACCATACTCGTTTTCCCAATAGACTGTAGTGTTATGAAAACCGTTTGGCAAACGATTTTTAAAATTTGTAATTCCAATCATAAATATCTTGATAATCAGACAGGCGATCGGCTTGTAAAAGTCATGGGGTTCCTGACTGACTTTAGGTTTATAATTATGATTGCAGCATGAGCTAAATCCAGGATTTTTTTCAGAATCTGAGACAAAGTTACCGGATCCGTAAAGTTTCCTTTGCAAATTCCTAGCATCAAAGTTAAAACGCAATATGGTCATGCATGAGAAAAGGTGGATGCAGTGTATGCAGACATTTTGACCCTTTCTACTCAGGCATCTGGTATATTTGTTAGGGCTCTGAACCAGAAGTTATTGAGCCAAAATCACAAAATGTGAATGATTGTCCTTACATGGTGAAAACTCCTTTATTAATTCAGTCCTTTAAATGTGACAAGAAATTTTTGCAGAGGTCTACTTACCTGTCCTCCTAGATTTGTGATATCCTGTTCTGCTTTTTGTAGCTTGAACTTGTATTCACCGACTTGTTTCGTTGCTTCTCCTACAAGAAATATATAGGAATATATAATCATTATCTGACAGACATTTGAAAGGGGATATTGCACAAAGAAATGGAAATCTTATGTACATGTAGTTAAGGTTGACTATTACCAATGCGTACATGAACAAAAGTAATGTTAAAATTCCACATGTTGCAAGTGTAAAGAAATTGTTTTTTTGTTTTTTTTAAATCTGTCATTAACAAAATAACGTACTACACTAGAAATTGATTCAATTTGTGAGTGATTCTACTCTTTTAGGTAATGCATTACATGTATGGATATGGCCATGTTCAGATGAATAGCATTCTAAATCAAAAGATAACGCAAGTGGAACTGAACCTCAAGTTATCATATACAGCGACAGAAATAGCCGACTTGAGGAAAATTCAGTGGGGTACAAATGTTACTAACTAAACATTCTATTGACTAATTGAGAGTGTAAACTCACTTTGTACATCAACTGCATCTAAATCTGGTCCATTTATTGTAATTGGGTTTGCTCTCCTTCGTTCAGCATTCTCTGCTCTCTCTTTGGACTCCTCCAGATCAATTTTGAGTTTTCTGATCTGTGGGTCAAAGCAAAACAGTTTCATTCATCATTTATTCACTCATTAAAACCACATAAAATATAAATACAAGTAAAAAAAAAAATAAAAAAAATAAAAAATTACGAACATCATGATAATAAAAACAAGTAAAGCTTGGTTTTAAAATGAGTTGGGACAAATGAAAAATTAAAAATCTTGTAAATGTCATCCCTACATTGAAAACAAAAAAAAATCATTTGTTTAGAGATTAACAAAAACATTGGTTTTCAATTGCTAATCCACAAAAGATAGTAGACATGCTCCCCTCCCAAAGGATTATTCCAGCCAGGCATTGCACCGTTATAATGAAATAATCCTTCGTTTACGGACCTGCTCTAGAAGTTCTTTCCTCTCCTCCACAAATTTCTTTAGCCTGACATCAAGGGCTCCGTCACCGACCATCTCCAGGAGTTCCGCTGCCTCGGGCGACACGACCACAATGGTTCCGACCTTCGCTTGCACAGGTTTAGACGAGTCACCGTCTTTCTCTTCTCCTACTAGTAATAGACCATGTTCCTGTTTATTGAGAGGTAGGAAAAGAACAACAGTTTATAATAATAATAATGTTCACAGTTGTAAAGCACTTAACACTACATTTATTTTCAAAGCGCTTTATATCATTAACCCAGTCAAAGTTTCAATTGCTATCTGCACATGTACACACTCCACTTCCTGAGGAGTATGCCAGCCATGTGACTTTTTAATGTTCATATCCTACATGGTACTACTTCAACACTTGGGTGAAGAGAAGCAATGTAGATAAAAGGCCTTGCTTGAGGACACACATGTTCAAACCCGTGACCTTCCCATTTCCAGTCAAGTGTTTAAACTACTCATCTTCAACAATTCTGATCAATGAAAAGACAGTAAATGAGGTCACACCTTCATACAAGGGGCTACAGATTCTTAGACATATACCATGGCGACAACTGCTCTAAGTTCAACAGACTCGCCTAACGACATTCCAAACTTCAACCTTGGCCTGACCATTTAATTAACTAAATTAACTCAGAACGAATGGTTTACGGTTCGAGTCCCACCACGGTACTAATGTCTTTTGGCAAGATATTAGCATACATTTGCCACTCTACCCAGGTGAGGTAAATAGGTACCTGGTAGGAAGAAATTCATTACATGCTTGAGCACCTTTTTAATGGTAGCTCTGCTAAAGCCTGGTTTATATTGATTGCATGGCCCTCCTCAGGAAGAACAGTATTAATACTGATGAGGCTACCCTGGGTATCTGAGACCTATTATCATTATTATTCCTATTATTATTCAACACAAATGAAGCCCAGAGCCTAATTAATACCCCAGCAGATTTCCTTGCAGGAATCATCGGCCCACCAATATAGAGAGTGACTACTTTAAATCTATTATGGATGCAAATTAGATAAAGTGAACTTAATGCCCGTAGGCAACTGTGACTTGGTCGGAAGCATCAATCAATTTCTAAAAGCCAGTCTCGAAATTTGACGCCGTTAATCTCCATCTAGTTTCTTGGTTTCCACAAATATGATGATATAATACACGCAAGAGTAAATGGTTAGATTACACTTACTGAAATGAGTTGATCTCTTTGTTCCACCATTTCCCTCAGAATTTCTACTTCTCTCTTTAATCCTACACTCTCACGCTTCTTGGATTCTAAGTCCTGAAGAATATGAAAAGAGAAAACAATTGAAAATCAGTGAGGTATCAATATAATGTAAAAAGTTAGCATAGAAATCATATATGCAAAAAGCAGCCTGAAATCAAATGCATGGATGACTATTATAATGCACAAGAGGTGGGAAGTATTCTTCCAAGAAAGGCTAAATTTGACAATAAAAACAAATAATGAATAATCTTGATATTTTATTCCTGAAGGTTCATTTGGTGTTTTTAAACTTATTGGATTAATAGTATACAAATGATGCATGCGCAAGAGATGAGGATGTTGTATATCACACGAAGCTGTTAGTCTGAGTGCGATAGATACACACAGCCTCAACGATAGTATAATGAACGAGAGTACAATGAACGATTTCTATCAAGATTTCTTTCAAGATGGTCATCAAACAACCATGAGTTGAGCAGTCTATTTTGACATATTCCATCTAATTGAGCTGCACGGTCCAGTGTTTACGTCTCTCCTTCAATGCTTGTAGGAGGACTATCTTGATCTTACTCTATGTTTATCTCTGGCTTCTCTGCTCAGTTCCATCATATGTTCCTCCTGATCTGCCAGGACATCCTTGAGACAGTCCACTTCGTAGACCAGGGTGGACTTCTCATTGTCCAGCTGGGCGTTGGTCATCATCGACTTCTTGTACTTCTCTTCCAGATCAGCAACCGCATCCTAGAGGATAGAGTACCAGCAGTGTAAAGGTTAAAGATGATTTGGTGAGAAGGTGGGAGAGGAAACGATGTTGGTATTAAATTGGAGAAGTAAGTATTACCAGGAGATGATGATGATGATGGTGGTGATGATGATGATGATGATGATAGTGGTAATGATGATGGTGATGGTGATGATGATGAGGATTGTGGTAATAATGATAATGATGGTGGTGGTGGTGATGATGATGATGATGATGATGATGATGGTGGTGATGGTGATGATGATAATGATGATAGTGATGATGATGATGATGATGGTGGTGATGGTGATGATGATAATGATGATAGTGATGATGATGATGATAATGATAGTGGTATTGATAATGATGGTGGTGGTGGTGATGATGGTAATGATGATAGTTGTGGTGGTGATGATAATGAGGGGGATAATAAAAGTGGTAATGATGATGATGATAATGGTGATGTTAAATGCTAAAGATGAAACGAAGAGTTTTGGTACAAGTAGCAATCTTTTGGATGTCAGTCATGATTACGATACAGATCATTTTATTCATGGTGAGGACTTTTTAATAATTCCTCGATTAAAAGATAGATATTTAAATTATTCTACTCTGATTTATTAAAAAACACATCCCAAATAATCAATCTATCGGTCACGCACTGAATTGCAAAACTAAAATTGAGACACCATGCTTGCAGTTCATCATAAATTCATTTAAGAGAATAAAAATGCAGTTAGAATAATCAATTCTTACAATTGCAATTTCCAAAACTCTAAACAAACTATACAAATAATAGGTATTTCATAATCATGAAATGAAATACACAACAACTTAATCAATCATGATGCAAACATGTGATGTCTTGTTTATTAATGTACAAGAGTGTGACGACTTTTATGACTTATACTCTGTTTCTGATATCCAAAATACTCAAAGAAGGATGGTCGAAACTATGAAGAAGAAAAAATCCACAGAAGATAGATAGAGCAGAAGTATTAGAAGAAGAAAGTAACTTCTAGATATTACTTGCTAAATATTTATACCAGTTATGATAAATATCAAAAGTAACATCTATCTGCAAAAAAAAATACTAAAGCTCAGATATATCACAAATAAATGTGGGTATGCTGTCAGAAGAAAGCATTTGGTGTTAGTAATATAGCATTCATGAAATAACATAGGCCAGTCTCTCAAAACTGTCATAGTTTAAGTTCGTGAACATCAAAATGAAACCTGTGTTAAGTCTAGATAGAGTTTAACACTCGTTTTCAGAAGTCTTTGAACTTTGACAGTTTTATGAAACTTGGCACATCTTCCCATAAATGTGTTATTTTCCACTTCCTCTGCAAGAGTGAGATTTTAGGTGCATTTGATAATAAATATGTGGAACTACCTACAGCTGTGCTTATCATCTATCCATCAACATGCCTGTGTACATTTTGTACGTAACACATGGGCTTTTACACATACATTTTTTACCCCCCTCCTCCTCCTCATCTTCCTCCATTATCTTGAAAGTGTGTATATTCAAATTTGTATGAAACTTACCAAGCTTCATGCACCCTTTTGAGACAAGGGGAGAAAAGAGGGGAATTTTTTTTAAATATATGCGTGAGAGTCAACACATCATAGTGTGTCACTCAATCTCTACCCATAAGCCAACAGTCAAAGCATACGCATACTAATGTATCTAAATGGTGAAGGCAACTAGCATGCTGATTAATCTGTGATTAAACATACAATTAAATCTACTTGATCTTGTGTGCCAGCAAAAGGTCGTTACATGGATAATTCCTCTTCACATCATTCTACTAGGAATATTCCTGCGACTGCCCTTTTAGCAAGCACACTACAACAAATACTTTAAACACCATTAATGTGGTCATGCAATCGGTTCACACACTAAATCTAAATGGTATACAAGTAGGGTGCAGATTACATGTACTTGTACCTATGGGCTATGGCATAACATTCATATACCCAGGTGATTAAAATACATGTATTATGCTGTGAATCATCTTTTGAAAGCTAGAAGGGCATTTAAACTCTGTGATTAAGGATATAATTAAGCCCTTCTGGCTTCAAACAGACAAACAATAAAAGTAATAATGATAATAAAATACATTCATTAAAAAAAATCCTGTATATAAAAAAAAATAGAAATTGGGCATTTAAAGCAGTACATGTATATATTCAGCTACAAAATATGACCTCAAAATACATTTTGGGATCTTTATTTTATAAGCAGAATACATGAATGACCAATTATCATATCAATGCTATGGTGCATAATAGCTTTATGTCAATCTTTTTGTTAAGCTTCAAAGCAATGATCCAAATGTATTGAGAATATAATTCAGTTCCCATGTTCAAATATTATTACCACTTAAACTTCCATTGGATGGTTTCATATCCGCATTGTATTAAACAATGACTGATGCTATCAATACCAGCAAAAATATGCATTTTTATGCCGAGGCTGAAAGAAAGCCGTAGACAGATCAATTTCCATCTCTCCTTTACCTATATATTACTTCCTCAGCTATCATGCATGTAAACATGAACACTTTTATGCTTTATCCTTCCTCATACGAAAGGTATTTCTTCTCTTTATAGCTGTTTGCACTGTACCGAAATAACAATAGAATTACCCATATGGAAAGAATGTCTTGATAATATTACTTCACAACTTTTGTACATGAAATAGTTTTGACAAATGTTTGTTTATATAAGTCAATGTCTAACTACATGTATATGTAATCTGAAATACATTACCATGTACTGTAAATTTACATGTAGTATTAGTATAAAAGCCTAGTTCCATAAACTTGATAACTTTAACTGCAATATCAAGATCTGCAACTCTACATTTATAAAGTGGAACCAGGCTCATTGCTGAAAGGTAAAAATGCAGTGAGGTTAAATCTAAATCTACTTGTGATGGGTTAGTTGCCATAATGCACAAACTAGTTTACGTGCGCTAAACTACGCCGGAATATGAACACTACTGGTAGTATTACAATCAATCTGGCATATCAATGAAACTGAATCTACTTGGACATTGGAGAAAATATGTCTCTAACGGTGTAACTATCACAAATGTAAAACCCAGTTGCTAAATTAGTTGTCTCTCTAAATGGCGAAGTTTAATAATAAGGCAAACACACAAAAGGAAACAAGGAAATTCATGTGCTCCGGTATGATACCTGTATGTACACATACAAGCGTATTGAAGTGCCTAAGAATTGAAAAGGGTTCTTATTTCATTCTCATTTTTTATAAAGAATACAATCCTGCATTGCTTGTTTCCTTTTTAATGTAAAATTATTTTCATAAACAATGTTATGAAGCATTCTCTATATTAAAGGTTAATAAAGAATATTTTTTGAACTTGCAGGTTTCTGAGGTTTGTAATTTCTATGGCAAATTAAGTGCTTTCTGTACAATCCACCACCAAAACAAAAATAAAGTTCTTAAGCTGTTCATTTCACTACTGGAATCAAAAGGGTTAATTGGGATTATCCAGTGTTTTAAAACATTTTCCAAAATTCCCCATTTTTTTACCTGAAGCTCTAGAAATCTAAAGTCCCCTATAGGCAGTTTTATATTTACACAGTATGGAGAAGTAGATTGGCTAAAAAAGAAAACAAAGTTCTCCAAGACAGGGTTAGAAGAGATTAACTCCCATGATGCACCTGTATAACAGTTCAAAGGTCAAGCAGAAATAAAAGTTCCCAGACCTACGATGTCCAAGAAAAAATAAACAGAAGCATTTAACAGAGCATAGCATGTTTACCCTTAATTGCCATGGTAACAAACCTTCAGTAACTCTTGTTCTTCCAAGTCCAATCCTCCCGTTTGGGATTCAGACTGGACCTCATCCCCGTTTGCTGACCCCTGGGTGTCAAAGGTCAAAGGGTCACACAGGGTCAAAACACATACAACATTGTTTTAAAAAATGAGGGGTAGAGGGGATATAATGTAAGTTAGGAAATGAGTTATAATTACAGACATGATTGTTGGTTGACCCCTAGGTGTCAAAGGTCAAGGGGTAAATGTCATCTTGGAAATGTGATGGGACTTGCTGTTCAGGGGTCAAAGGTTAAATGCAAATGATTTTGCTGTTTGCTGTTTCCATGATTGCTGCTGTTGTTAGAAATAGAGTGAAACTGTGTGAGCCAATATCATTAAAGAAGCAGCATTAACCAACCTTCAGTGGCTCCAATTCTCGGGGGTCTATGCCACCCCTTTGGGGTGCTACGTGAACCTCTTCAGAGATTGCTGACCCCTGTTTAATGTGTGTCAAAGGTCGTGAAGTAAAGGGTAAACAATGACAACGTAAATATTATCAACGAGGAGTTAAGAGTAATTAAGAAATTCAACAAGTACAATGGTGTTGACACTGCATGCTTTGTCTGTAAAACAAATTAAGTTACAACAATAACATTCTACATGTTTATGGTTTATAAATATACCTGAACAAAATATGACATATGTACATTTAGGTCTACATATTGCTATAAAATAATTGATGCACATATACAAAGATTAAACTTTTCAGATATATCTCTTTACAAATATAAAGTCACCATAAGACATTTTATCAGATTTACACCCCCAAAACACAGGATCCTTCAATGTCTTCAATCTGTGTTACAAATTATTTTAAAAACTTTTAGGAGAGACTCCCCCTACCCCCCTTTCCCCCCTCCTCTAGTCTCATCTTGCATTCATTAAACCCCATTCACACCACCAAACCTACTCAAAAACGCCAAATAACCGATCAAATCTCAGCCATTAGGGTAGAATAATATTTTGTCTCTCTCTCTCTCTCTCTCTCTGTAACTGGGGTATTGTGTTAGGGCATTAAATTTGAGGCAGCTATTATAAGTCTCAATGACCAATCAAAAGTAAAGAATATCCTGGATAGAGATAGAACCTAATCGTGGCAACCATTAGGCAGGTTCACACGAGAGTTGGTAAACATTTAGTTAAGGTCTGCGTGGACACACTCATTAAAGAAACGTTAAGTTTCCTCAAAGTTTTATGAGCAATCTTATGGTTAATGCGATAACTATGAGCAGTAGGAGTCATCACTTAGGGTACGTTTATGCTCAATTTTGAAGGCAGAATGAGCGATTTGAAACGCTCATCGTAAACGCTTATCGTAATTGCAGTTCACGATGTACGGTTTATGCTCACTTCTCTGGCTCCTCCAGGCATGATTCTGGCTCAGAGCCAGAATCATGCCTGGAGGAGCCAGAGAAGTGCAGTGCAGAGCCTGCAGCAACATGCTACATTGACCCCATTTAAACGCATTTACAAATGATTGTGCGTTTATGCTTCCCCAGAATCTCCGATCCATAACGCACCTTTTCGTTAGTTTACTATTACAATCGCTGTGATTCTGTGATTCTACAATAATGAGAAAGGACGCAACCGTGTTTCGAACTAAACGCGTAACAAATGCCTCATTCTGGCCAGAAAAAGTTGAGCATAAGCGTACCCCCAGTTACGTGCTGAGTGGAATTCAAGATTTCCCCAGTTTGTAGTGACAATGACTGTTTGCCCGGCTTGTAATTTAAACTTTGAGTGCACATCGTTTTGGACCTGTGTGAACCCCCATTTTACACGTTTGTCGGTTGACATTTAAAACTTTGACGTTTTGGAAGCTTAAAGTTTAAATCTATGACAGTCCTATGTAAACATAGCTATTTTGTATTCACTGCTTAAAGTCCATTACCAAACCCTTGTGACATACCATAGAAACTAACAGATAGCCAACTTGAGATTAGTCTACTTTCTAGACCCTGCATGCTCCCATTTTGTATTTAATAGTCTCATTCACAGGCTACCAAGCAGGGGGTTTCCCTGACTCCAAAAAGAAGGTGCTTTCAGTGTTCAGACTGGTGCTGGTCAGCTACCAAATCTCCTTTTCTCAGGGGATTAGTTTACCTACCCCAGACTCTAAGCACCACCGTTCCAATGAGAGCAGGGACAAATCCCCTGGCCTGAGACAAAGGCTAATCCGAGGATGACGAGCAAATGTCATAAAATGTCAAAAATGTGTTGACATGTGGCTAGGTGAAGTACAAAGATGTACCTTTGCCACTGCCCCCACCTCCCTCTTGTCATAGTGCTAAATTTATTCTGTTTATAAATAGGTTTATACTCCCAATGACTTCAAGTCATGTAAAGATATCAAATTATGATTTCTAGAGCTCATTATGTGCTCCAAGATGTGTCTCTTTGCCTACAAACAATGTATACTTTGCAAAAACATCTCAAGCCATCAATATATTCCCCACTTTTATCACATTTGTCTGCACGTACATCTCAAGTATGAAATTATCATTTTAATTATTTCTCACTGGATATTATACAGTCACAACTAAAAACTAGCGATTAAAGACTACTACATAATCATCAAACTGCTTCCATGTAGAAATCAGTTGCATGTTACATATTATAGGGACCACATATAGAGTATCTATTGATCTACGAGGACAGCATCTGTATTTACAATTAACAATTTCAAAAACACAAACACAAAGAGAAAGTATTGGTGTGGGCTTTGAAACAGAAAGGACTACAATTACATTTTTACATCAATTGGCATTTGTGTGGACAAATAATACATTTAATTGCAATGATACTAACAGTGCTTCACATGACATTAAACCTTTAAAAAGGGGCAAAGGGGCAACAGTGATGACATCACAAAGGGGTACAACGATAACTATGACTGGTGTCCACATGCTTTGGAGTAAAGCACACGTTATTAAAGAGACGTAACTCATTTCTACAGAAGAAGAAGAGCATTGCTCAGGGGAGTGAAGTTAGGAAGGGATTATGGGAGTGGTAATATAAATTTAAGGACACAGACATGGAATTTCAAGGGGGCATGGGTCCAAACTGTAAAACTGTATAGGCCCTCTACAGTCTTCTACTCCGTATTCCTAGCCAGACCAGCTCCCACTATACATCAACGATGATGTCATCTTTAGGATCTGGTAATGTTTTCCTTTTTCCGTTTTCCATCTCGCACTATTCTTTCAGTAATCATTCCTATTGTATTCTTATACCACTATTGTATTTGTATAGAGCCAGAACTTGGGCGTTGACTCTACACTATCATATTCTATTCTTATACTATTTTTACGTTATTCTTATCATGCTACAAGATCATTTCTAGTTTACCCACCTTTAAAAGATCATGCTCGATGGATTCGTTACTGCCTCTCCGAGATGACGGTCTGCTACCAGAGCCACCTGTTCCTGCTGCTACTACCATCTCAGCTTGTTTCGTTAACATCTAAATATTTAGGCATTAGAATAAGAAGGATAATCCAAAGATAGAAAAGAGAAAAATAGTCAGTATAATTCAAAACATATTTGAGTAATAAGAGTAATGAAGGAAATATCACAATCATGATCTCATTACAGCAACTATAAAATGGAAAACAAAACTAATCACGCCTTTGAAAGGTTATTCATATTCATCTAACATTCATGTTTATCTCACAGTGACTATCCAAACGTCTAACCTTTACCATTTCAATGAACTGTCACCCATTTTCTTTAAACTCTTTTACAGCTAACACAATTTGTACCACATCGAATGAGATGAGAAAGATAAGGAGGGATCTTCTACTTCTAAAATGAAAGTGGTATTAAACACATCCTCCATGGGTACTACTCAAATGGGACTTGATAAATGCATGGTCTGTTGAGAGCCAGAAGGGAATTAACTCATCTACATGTAATAACACAGAGTTAACACCCTTCTGGCTCTCAGCACACGATACATGGACAAAACAGATCAGTGATGTGACTAGAATTAGAGGATGTTTTATCAATTTAATATGATGAATCACAAATTAGTCTTCTGGGAGAGAATTAGACGGTAAGTTCTAACGTGGCTCAGTCTTGTTTAATAGTCTTCAAGTGGTTTAGTGGAAACATTGAAACCAGGTAATTAAAAAAAGGCTCACATTTCATGTAATACTGTCTGTTACGAGCCAAAACAATGTTTACTCATATACATAAGTACTTTTACACAAAGAAACGCCCTTCTCGTATAACAAACAATATGTAAACTGCAAGAAATATTGAAACCCTTCATTTTCAAAGGCCCGGCATACATTTAAATGATGGGTAAAGAACTATGAAGAAAAATATAAACTACATGTATATTAAATTTCTGTGAAGTTCTAATCATTTTTTTTTGTTATGCACTAACTATGGCATATCATCTGTCGATAGCCATAAGGGGTAACTCATATCATCTTTTATAAAGCCTTTATGTCATCTCACTTTGAGCAAACAACATGTATGGGGAGTGTTTTTTCTTCATAGAAATCCTATATTACACTTTTTTAAAATAATTACTGAATGCCTGTTACCACAACATAGATGTCAATATTTCTGAATCATCAGGGCCCTGCTTCATGAAGCTTGTTATCGATAACAAGATACAATCAATGTATAAGCTAGGATGAAATCCTTACATTTGATGGCTACAAGCAGATTTGTCATGGATCTGTGACACTTGTTATTAACAAGTTATTATAAAACAGGGCCCTGATAAATGTACATGAACATGTACCCCCCCCCCCTCTCCCCCCCCCCCCAAAAAAAATGGACACATACATGTACACTGTATAATATAAGCACAGCTTTGGCATGCGGTATGTACATACACTTGCAAAACATGCACCAAGAAAAAATTAAAATACATTTTAATACAAGCTTTAAAATATAGCACCCATCATATAAATTAAACATGAAACTAGATCTCTCCTTGTTTATAAATGTTCATAAACGTCCACATGTACATGTACATTGCACAATGTGTCCCAAAAATAAGTATTACAAGAAAACACAAATGCTTGAAGCCTCAAACTCTGCACGAGTACAAATTGTGCAAAATGTTTCCATGCAGTATAATTCAAAATTACATGCACCAACAAACAATAATCACACAATTTAGCATATAAATTAAACATTATGTTTACACTTTCATCAACCTAAAGCCAACTCATGCTCCTGTCATAATGTCTTCCTGTCATAATTTCTCCCATTTATATCCAGGTCCCTTATTTCCTTTTTTCCCATATGACCATTTAGTGGAAGATACATACATGTAATAAAGGGCTCTGCACTATTACTTTTTTGAAGGGGTCCGGGCTGAACTCATTACAGTTTCTACGCATTAGCCCTATGTAAAAAAAAAAACTTCCAAATTCTACTGGTCCAGACTAGAGTTAGATTTAGGGCGCCCATGTGTCCTAGGCAACTGTTAGTGTCGAGCCCTGCATATTGCATAATGTACATGTAGCAAAAACAACATACATGTAATGTAGCAGCTTTCACCAAGGAGTATTTTCACCACTTTCAGTGTATCAGAATTCATGTTTGTCAACCCATAGTTTATAAAATCTTTACTTTGATTTTGTTTGAGAAAAAATGATTTTGCTTTCCATGGTTTATTTCTATAAGTTTCCTGATTGCTTTATATGATTCAAAGTGGAAGCCATAGAAATTGTCGATTTCTACTTTATACTGTAGATTATGCAGAGTTTCATGATTTTGCTTTCCATTGTTTCTTTCTAAAAGTCCCCAAATTACTTATGTTTAAATGTGGAGGTCCTTACAAGTGCATACCTCAATGGGTTTGATTTATGAGTCATTGCAGTTCTTCACTGTGGAACAGTTTATCACATTAGTGTGTGAATTTAAACAATGATGCAGTAAATGATATGAAATAAGGAAAGAATTTTAACCATTATTAAAGCATCTTTTGACAATTTAGAACTTATGGACTTGCTTTGCTTTGCTCATAGTCACAAAATATTGTACAAAATATGACTATAATATGATGGATGATATTCTATGGTCAACAAAGTGATATCCAAACACATGATGATGCATGCTAATACAGTTAATATTTTGCTAATTATTCCGCACAGCAAACAACGTAAAGATTATTGGACCTGTAAAACCCAATGGTAGAATTTTTTTATATTTTTTTTTATTCCCACAGCAAAAACAGTAAAAGCATATTTCAAAACCCAAAACCCAAAACAAGCAAAACTAATACTGAAAACTTCCAGACGTATTAAGTCAAAGAGTATTCCCCTGCCTATTACCGGTATTATCCGACTATAGCAAAAGATTTGATTTGTTACATCTCAGCAGCATTTCAAGACATTTCTTGTCATTGTGCTATAGTAATATTCCTCAGGATTTGTTTTTTCATTCTACGATAGTAATATTCCTCAAATACAAATACAGCCCAGACATTGTTCTAAAAAGCAATTTAGAAATCAATGCATTCGTTTGCAGAAGCAGTTGTATTTGACATTTTAAATGTTTCTTCACAGTTACATGTAGTGTACTAGTATTTGTGATCAGGGAAAAAATTAATATTTCTTTTTCGGGAGCTACTTTTAAAGCTTGCCTGCATGAAAATATTATTCTAAAATTTGTTTTGCATTGAACTCTATGCAAATTTACAGGGCTCTTTTCTGATTTTCGGGGGCTCTTTTGGGCATTTTGGGGGCTATTTCGCCCCGAGCCCCCGTGTATTTTTTTCACTGTTTGTGATGAGAGATCGTCATCAATTGCAAGGAGAAACACTCAGTCTCTCCACTAGCACACATGTAATCTTCACAACACTATTAGCAGATTTATAAAAGCAAGCTTAGTAAGAAAAGCAATGCTTGTCTTTCTTCATTATAAAGGATAAAGTGGAGGGAAATTAATTAAGAAACAGACACTGAAAATGTATGTGACCTCAGGTCATAATTAATGCTTGCGTAGCAAAAATAATCTCCTTTTTTGACATTTTCTCTCACATGCAAGAAAAAGTGTTGCTTTCTTTTTCTTCTTTTTTAAATGTTAAAAACAAATAATTAAAACAAATTATTTTAAATTTTATTCTTTTCTTTGTCTTTCCTTTTTTTTTTTTTTTTGGGGGGGGGGGGGGTGCCACTGGATCATAATAATAAATAATAGTCACATTATAGCGCTAGATATTACATTTCTAAGGGCTTTACATTGCAATTATTATGGATTATATAGAATGAAAGGTATATTTGTAAATACGCATTGCAGTATGTTTACTTCTTGTTTATACAAATTGCAAATATGTTTTGTCCATGACCCAAAATAGTTTCTATGTTTCCTGGTAGGTCTACACACTTTAAAGACAAGTATTCCCTTTTTGTTTTTCTTCTCCTCTTGGGGGGGGGGTCTATTCCTTATATTTCTTCTTTGTATATACATGTAATAGAAAAATTATGACATTGTTGGAGAGTTTTAGATTTTGTGTATTGTAATGTGAACAAACAAGTTATGAGCATTACACCAAATGGCATGGGTGGGAATGGGAAGTTTAATGGGAAGTTTAACTATGGACATACTAAGTTAAATCAATGACAATGGGGTATTAGTTCTGACATCAAGATTCACAATGACAAACTATTTCCAAGAATGATTGGAAGTCAAGACCTACTATGTAGTATGTTCTATTCTAATTTGGATATATACCTATACACTGTACACTTGTAAATCAAGGGGATGTGATGTGTGGACTGTGACGATCATACGTGAATAGAAACATAAAGAAAGTAGATCTTATTTACACTCATCCTCATATTACTTGAAGTACCCATCGGCACCTGAAGGGAGGTTCGGCGATGGTGCCATTTCTGTCTAGAACTCAGTGGCTCTTTGAGCTGCTGCAAATTGGCAACACACACATTTACAACCACAATGCAACATTACAAACAAACCAAAAACATTCATTGGAGCCAGGCATACAGGATAGGGGAAAAGAAAGGAGGAAAAAAATGATACACATTAAACGATGCAATGCAAAGAGCAGCAAAAATAATGCATTTGAAAAAGAGAAAACATTAATTAGCACGTTAGCATGTCTGATAATCCTGGGAAAAGCATGTACCGTATTAAAGCATTCAATGTATCATATATTATTTAAATTCAACGACACTAATAATTTGTTTAAAGCCAGATGGGCATTAAAGGTACTAGGTCCCTTTTGCAGCCAACCTCAAATTCTGTAGAGCTTTGCAGAAATTATGAATATGTCATGTATGTCCTATCTGTGAAATTTAAACGTTAGCAGTGTCCTCATATTCAAATTATGCAAGGAAACCCGTTTACTTGCTAGACTTCACTGTCAGACACTATTGAGTGACTGACTGGCTTTTTTTCTTCTTTGGTAATAACACACATGAAAAGAGTTGTAAAGGGTACATGAGCATTTGTCTACATCAATAACCCACTTATTGTGATGGCCAAGATTAAACTGATTGAATCTTTGCGCAGCATAAAACGGATGACCATTCGGTACAATTGTCTGAAAATCAAGACTATTACTTTTGGGCTCTATAGCCCTAAAGTCGATTTGACAACTAATAGTCGTTATTTTCCCACTTGAAGACATTTTCAAGCTTCACCTTTTTTAGGGAAGTTCTAAATTAGTATTATCTTTCAAATGCAGTTGGAATTTCACTTTTTCATTTTTTTGGCCTGCAAATGGGACATAGTACCTTTAAAGGTATACTGAATCAATGCCCTTCTGGCTCTCAGTCTAAGCAGACATCATACATTGTAGTATTGAATAATTTCATTCAAAGAATACCTCTCAAGACTAAATGCTTTATAAATCAGCTTCAATAACATTTTTTATCTCCCTTTGTGAATGGTCCCCTTTAGTATGTAACATGAACTTCCCTTGTAGTTTAAAAATAAAACAAAAACAATCTAAAGCTCTAACATTCTTCTTCTTCTTATTCGCTATAAGTACAGGTCAAAAATGAACTTCCCTTGTAGTTTCAAAATAAAACAAAAACAATCTAAGGCTCTAACATTCTTCTTCTTCTTACTCGCTATAAGTACAGGTCAAAATTATTATTTCTTTGGAACCAATATGATTTGCACCGGTACTGCAAAAACAAAAGTGTACATGTACATGTACTGTATCAGGTGTAGCCTTTTGACAAGGCCTCGTGACTCTAAGCGGCTGAGATGAGTCTAGATACCCGGAGTGAACGCGCGACCGAGTGACGGAACGTCACGAGGCCTTTTGAGAAGTGGGTTTCACTGCTCCGCATGAATTATTCATAGATACATATTAGCATGCCAATACGCCTACTTTGGATTTATTGACCAATCAGAACGGCGATCTCCCAGTTGGCTTCGTTCGTGATTCGTTCCATGTAGAGGTCAGTGGTCTTAGCACGTACGTAATAGTTCATAGCATGTAGGTCCATGTTCGCACTACGTAGAGTTTACTGTGTGTGTGTGTGTGTGTGTGTGTGTGATGGATACTATATGCTGACGTCGTGCGAGGATACGTTCGCTGATTGGACGCTCTATTTTCTGGAGCGAATTCCAGTCGGAAACAATGGTTAACATAAGAAATCCAAATCAGATTGATAAAGGCCACTAGGATGGGCTCCTCGCTCTCGCGTTCACTTGGGTTTTCGCGATTAGTCTCGTTTTAGTCGCTCGGCGTCTATCAGACAAGTGGCCTTGTTTAAAGGCTATATCAGGTGTAAAGCAGGGCTCCCACTTAGCCGAGTTGGAGCCTCGAGTTGTGGCGAGCTGGCGCGATCTTATGGCAAGCAGTTTTATCATTAAAACATATTTCTTGATATCAAGAATTCAATTCTTGATATCACAAAATCGAATTCCTGATATCACGAAATCAAATTCTTGATATCAAGAATTAACATTGCTTTAATAAAGCCTTTAAAACATAAAATTATTTCTTGATAACAAGAATTGATTTATTGATATCAATTAATAATAAAACGGCTTGCCATAAGATCCCGCAATCTCGCCACAACTCGAGGTTCCAACTCGGCTAAGTGGGAGCCCTGCTTAACTAAAGAATGTAAAGTGTGCATGTGTTCACCCCTAACACATTTCAAGGGTCCCCTTTCATGTAGATATAACATGAACTTCCTGTTTGTATTGGTATGAGAGACAAATGAGAGACAAATTCTATGGCACCAACTATAAATTAATGCTTCTGAAGAAGAAGAAAAAAGGTGAACAGTCGGCTATCTCCTCGGTCAGGTGTTCAGTGTTTGTATTCAACAAATTAATATAGTCTGCAGGAACAGACTCTAATTTGACACTTTAACACAATTCGTTCCTGTTTTCATGAAGTGACGGTAGTGAGGAAAATATGCACGCAAATTTTATGCGATTTTTCCTCACTACCGTCACTTCGTGAAAATAGGGACAAATTCCTTAAAGTCTTGAGCTGAGCCTAGCTCTGCCAGTCTGAGACACGTACAGAGCCTATGGTGTGCAGTAGACCAAGCAATCTGCAGTGCTAGTCTCTATATTCAGACACTCTGTTCAATATACGCACTACGACAACTGACCATGGTGTGTGCCTGCAAAGTAGCGTTAAACCCGATCCCTCAACACATAGTATGTGGATGTCTCACTTGGCATTTCATAAACACATCAAGAGAACGTTACCGTGGGCTATAATTACCCAGTCTAAACAACATGCCAGGACAGGGGTTCCAGTGTGTGGGACCATGGACAATTTATTTTGAGCAGCCCCTGATGTAGTCTAGGCTCCAGGCTGCATTTGACATCTGACACTTCAATTTTCACTTGCAATATTTAATTTTATTACCCGACTGAAAATTTGCTTTGTTCACATTTTGCATAACTTTAAAACAAAGATCAATTTTAAAAAGCATTTTCCCTTTCTGTCTATTTCCATGGATCATCTGAATAAACCTTGGAAGAAGAAACCTCTTGAAACATTTGATAGACAGTGAATGGTGACATGAAGGACCTGTATTGTTTACATTATAATGCCATAATGATGGGTAGAAAATAGAAACTGAAACTAATAACTGTCCTCTACTTTGGATCATCATAAGCCCATTTAGAGTTTTGAAGAGTAGCATACAATGTACAAATTACATGTTAGATAGTAGATACCAAAAGGGCATTACACTGTAGGTACTGTAAAATGAGAACTTTCATACAGTACAGTGTATATGCATGAAACTTTGGCAAATTTTGTGAATGGTTTGAATTTATGTTTTCATGCTGATAAGGAATGAAAGCACCAATGTAAGTCTGTTTCAACACAGAATTTTGAACAATGCATGAAATGTCTTGGTTCAGTATGTAGTTTACAAATCATCACAAATGCTATAATTTTACAGTGACTCTTGCTCTCTTACAGAATAGACTCCCTTTCAGCTTTTAGCAAACTAATACATAGAGGGCTTGATATATTGGAGATAATGTATCATAAAAACGACATTGTTTACCTTTCAAACATACTGCACGTGTTTCAAAATGCACAAAATAATGGTCTTCATGCCATACAAACTTTAAATTGCGACAGGCATGATATACAATGTATGCAGTGTACACTGATGTAATCATATAAATAAATGTACATAAAAATCAAACACTTTAATACAACAAGCATTAAAACATACAATGTACATAGACAACTGTTTAGCAAAATGAAAATAAAACAGTGTCTAAATTAATAGTGCATTACTGTACATTTGTCGCGATGTGCAACAAAAAATAATTTCATATTTCAATCAAAAGCTGGCCACAAATATATTGACGGAAGAACGCATGCAGAAACAAAGTAAATGCAGTGTATTCACCACAAAAGAGCATATAATGAAATTCACGTTTTAAGCATGAAATTGCAGTCCAAAAAATGACAAAACAAATTGGCAACATCACCAATACTGTCACTGATTCCACGAACATACACACAGAAGATTATTTAAACATTCTATGGTTTACCATGTTCCGATGACGGTACTACGATTGTATACAGTATGGATGGCATTTCAAATAGTGGGGTTGAGAGAGTACATGTATATAGAGGGTTAGTTGAGAAGACTACTACATGTAGTACAAGTAGGGGAATTCGGCTGACCAAGGGCAGCAAGATATTTTTACCTTCCGAGACTTTTCTGGTCGACCCTTGGATGTAGGAGAGAAGCAGGAAAGCGTCATTTTGTATCAAAAATTCAGAATTAAAATGACAAAATGTAGCATTTTTCAGGGCTCCATACTAACATTTGTTCTGGAGTCTAAAGTGATATTTTCTCCTTTTGGGGGGAGGGGGAGGGGGAGGGGTGTCCTCTACGTGCACCAGGTTCAGGCCCCTGTTAACATTGGGAAATTTGAATGATGGAGTGACATTTTTTAGGTTTTTCACATATTGCACATATTTGTACAATATAAATGTACATGTTTGTATGGCCAGTTTAGTGTCGAGCCTTGAAATTGGCTCAAACTGCAATTTGTCAACAGCACAGAGACTTCAAATATTAATCCCCCTTTAAGGAAACAGAGCTTTAATATTAATGATCTACTGTACATGTGCATCCTACATTGTATGATCTGGAATATATATTTTCTCTTGAACCCTGTAAAGAAATTACGATCAAACTGAAACTATGGTAGGGTCAATCCATGCCTACAACATCATGTTTGTACATGTTCAATAGAGTGGAGCACTATATTCAAGGGGGCTTTACAATGTACATGTACCATTGGAACCATCCGTAGGGGAATAGATATGAAATAATTAAACTCCAGCACTGGTACTGATGGTTCTAAACATCACTGCTTGACAAGTACATAGTGTTATGACAAATTCATCTAAATTGCTACAGACGTACATGTACATGTACATATACAGGATTTTTTTTTTCCCCCTCAACCACGCCCCCCTTGAATAAAAAAAAAGAGAAGAGGATTCGCGGGGAAAAAATGGCATCTAACAACATTCCCCCCTTTCGAGTAAGAAAATTGGGGAAAAAATAGGGAAGATTAGAGAAAATAACAGGGAAATCTGTAAAATCAGGATAAAAGAGGGAAGAAGAAAAAAAATCAGGTAAAAAAAAAAAAATATCAACAAAAATTGGGAAACTGATTTAAATCGGGTTTTTATCAGGCCTGTCATAGTAACTGTACTGAAGATGTACATGTACATGTACACGTACTGTACATTTACAGAGTTAATGCCCACTGGCTCTATCTAAACAGAGGATATATACTCCAATGTACACAATGTGCACTGATATTACAAATCAAGTATTATCCATTGTACATGTAGATCAGTCAATGCCACTTGTACTCAGTTCAAAGGAAAACTGCAGATCATTAGCAAATATTTGCATTCAATGATTCATTGTATCCCTTACCACAATTTCCTACGAGTACCGGTACCATTCACTGTCCATGTACATTATACCGGTAGATTAATTACTGAGATAACACAATACAAACGGTTTATAATATATCTGCGTTTTCATATAAATGCCTTTCTGGCACTCAACATTTACTTTTGTACTTACTTACGTACATGTACATATAAAAGTATGGTTGAAAGTTTATCAATGGATATTTGAAGGTCAATGCACTTTGATACAATTATAAGGCTAATGCACTCTGGAGTTTTCATATTTATGGATGAACTCATAGGCCTCAATTCACAAAGGAGGTTTGTCGACAAACCTTGGTTTTCATACGTCATATGACGCGTTTTACGCGTTTTTTACAAACCTGGTTTGTAAAGAACAAAAGGAGGTTTGAGCTCAAACCTTGCTTTGTGAATTCGGGCCAAAGAAGTCAAAATCCCTCTTTCGGAGGAATAATGTACAAAAATGAACATATTTCAAAATGGATAATTCATCTGTTAAGAGCCAGAAGGGCATTAATTCATAGGCTGTTACACCCTTCTCACTCTAACAAACAAATTATTCTGCTCACGTAATGAATGGCATTAAGAGATGAATGCATTCAATGCCGATGGCAATGCACACACAAAAAGATGCTGAATGCACACAAATCACTTTCAAAATTTGGAAAGTTCACATGCATCTAAAACTGCTCATGTGTAGATTTCAATATATTTATACATTTTGTACTTACAATCTTTTTCTCTTCCTGTTGTATTTTGTATTCTATATCCATTTTTTCATCAGCCTGTTTAAAAAGAGATGGAAAACAGGAATATATCAACATCATTTGCAAATACAGGATAGAAAATTGTTTGAAAAGAGGATGGATGGGGAAAGAAAACAGAGATGGCAGACAATGAGACAAGAGAGGAAAAGAAAAAAGAGGAAAAGAAAAAAAGAGGAAAAGAAAAAAGGGGGAAAAAAATCCATGATGAAAATCAAAGCGATTTATGACAAAATGACAGAGGCACATCAAAATAATATTTTCACCTGAGGTTCGCAAACAATTACCTCTTGTTCTCAATTATGACAAACATCATTAAACACTCTGTCATGCTGTACGGCAGAATACTAATATGAAAATAATGACAAAATATTGGGAGCTGGGATCAGATCAATTTGTATGGTTGATTAATTTTCATCTTTGTGACTCGATTAATTACCAACGATTTCCCACAGTACACAAACTGCATTTTATGATTAAGCACCAGTGACCAATGATATTAGAGGTGTTGAGGTCTAGTGAATACAGTAGGTCATCATAATATGGATCACAAGTAAAGGGGTTCAAGTCCCCGCATCAACACTAATGTCATTTGTCAAGACGTTTATCTCGGTCTGCCGCACTTCACCCAGGGAAGGAACACTGTACATTAAAGGGCTGCCCAACAGGAATCAACTCCTTAAAATTCTAAAGAGCTGTAAAAGCACTCGTGCTAAAGTGGGAGTAATAATACTCCATGCGTGCTAGGCAAGTACAAATGTACCCGCTGACCACATGTGTGATTTATAGGTTATGTGACTTACTTCCTTTTGTACTTTCTCCAACTCCAGCATTCTGATTTTCCTGGCCTCTGCCCTCGCCTGCCTTCTCTGAGCCAACTTGCTCTCCGCCTGAAAGTAAAGATCAAATTTAAGACAAATGAACAAACAGGAAAAATTCAAATTGCATACAAAACTACATGCATAATCTAGTTGATGAAGTTTTACGAATGCCGTTGAATGAATAAGGAAAGTAAAAGAGTAAAAAGAGGTATGAGAGATAGTAAGAGAGAAAGGAAAGATACAGAAAGAGAGTACATGTACATGTACATCATATGTTCCTGTGACAATTGCTTCATGGTTGTTCAATATCCTGCACTACGGTAAGCAATGTCTTTGCTTCGGTCCTGGCCTGAACCCTAATTCCCTAACCTACAATTGTACAATGAGATAAGTAAAATCCAATTGCAACTTCAATCATCAACCTTTGCTGAAATAAAACAATGAGCAATTGTCAAATTTGTCACAAGAACATACATTGTATGTCAAGAGTATAGAGAAAGAGAGCGCAAAAACATACACCTCGAAGGCTCGAACGTCATCTGCTTTTCTCCTCTCCGTTGATGAAATGACACTCAACTGTGAAATTCAAAGGCTTACATGTACATGTATACAAAATTGACTCTTGAAATGCTTACCAATAAATATTGATAATAGAAACTAATTTCGAAGGGAAAGACCATTATTATCCTACACATGTAAGTGTCTTGAAAGCTAGGCGTTCTTACAAATATTGATATGGAAACTACAATGTAGTTAAGAAAGGGAACACTACCATTATCCTAAGTGTATCTAAAGTACCATGGCCTATTTTTATCATGAGAGGTTTTGACAATGGGAAGTCCTTCATAAAATTTATTCACAATCAGTGAATCTCACATGGCCTTTAGATGGCAGTATTCTGTACACATCCAAGTAAATGAAGCCATATACCCCCCCCCCCCCCCACTTCAACACCATTATTCAGGGGTGATAGTGAGCACTACCAAAAAAATAGGTTTTTTGTTTTCCCCTCAACCATGGCCCCCTTGAGTAATAAAAAAGAAGAGGATTCGCGGGGGGAAAATGGCATCTACCAACATTCCCTCTTTCGAATAAGAAAATTGGGGAAAAATTAGGAAAATTGGAGAAAAAAATAGGGCAAAATAGGGAAGAATATAATAATTAAGGGGGAAATTGGGAAAATCAGGTTAAAATCTGGAAGAAAAAAATCTGGATTTTTTTTTTTTTTTTTTTTTTTTTTAAATCGCGAGGAAGAAAAAAAAATCGGGAAAAAATCGGGGAAATAAAAAAAATCGGGAAACCGATTTAAATCGGGTTTTTATAAAGGCCTGATTATTGTACAGGTGTATTTAGGGTGAAATACATTTAACATGATATTTTTATGCATTCTACATGTACCTGTATGAAATTTGAGATGTTCAAACACATACCGTACTAAAATAAGCCTTCCAGTCATGGAAAGGTTGAACAGACTAAACCTAACGTCCAACCTGCCAGATTCCATTGTATACTGTAGCTATACATGTACATGTAAATGTGTACATTTATACCATTCTTGATAGAGGGTTGCATGTGAATTGAAACAGCATGTCTCCTCTCAGAATGTTCAGTTCAGTTCATTTCATTTTATTCAAAACCACACAAAGCGTGATATAATCTGTTACATTAAAAAAGAGACTGGTAATAGTACATCAATCAACATTCAGTCTGAATGTCGTATCATGAAAAATTCATTTTTTAGCATTGTTTGAACCAAAAACTTGATAAAAAATCAGGGTCCCTTTCTAGTCTGAAAGTCTTGCCAGGGCTTGTCACCAGTGCCCACTTGTGACTGGCCAGCTATCATGTTAATTGAACTATTATTTTCTCCAATTTCTTCACAAGTTTGTATGTAACATTTCTTTATAATACATGTTTTGTTTCAATTTTCCTCTAGTGTGAACAGACTATCATAGAATCATCCTAAATGTGTACGCAGTTCAGTACATTGTGTACATGTATATTTATCTCCATAACCCATAGAACTGGAAAGGTTTAATAACAATGACTTGAAATTTTAGTCTATGATTTGAGATTTGAGATTAAGAAATAGGAACATATCTTGAAATTCTTCTTTCATTTTTTCATTTCATTTATTAATTTGTGTTTATTTCTTCATTCATTTATCTATTCATTCTTTATTTCTTCTTCTTTATACTTTTTGGTGTGGGGGGGGGGGGAGGAGGAGGCTGTCATTAATAACATACAAACACTTGCATTGTACAGGGTATGTGATGATGCATACTCATATATCACACATGTTCAGATCAGCCCTGAGAATCAATAAAATCAGATTTGTTCACAGCAATTCATCATCATGAGATTCAGGTCTTTAGCCTTGCCAAAAACAACACCTCCCATACCGAACCAAGCACTATCATGCTGGCTCGGTTATTGCTCATACTGTTATCTTCAATTTACTTCACCCTCATATTGCCTTGTGTTTGTTTACTACACTTGAAATATTTCATAAATTAGGATTGTTCTACTGATTTGACACACTATGGGTATTATAGTTTGATGATATATTCATAATGAAATACATGTACAGTATGTTGTAAATAACTATATAAATATCTTATGAATGAGTCTACTTCAGCTACATAATCTGCATGTATAAAGCACATCTACAATGATATCTTTCACTATCAAAATAAATACTTTCTGGCTCCGTCTACGGATGTGATTGCATACTTTAATATACATGTACTCAATGAAATGTTTGTGATGATGATACATGTATAAATCTGGATGAATGAATATGATTCATTTCCAAATGCATGTACAATGTATACAGTCTACATCTGTACTTTGTGTTGGATTACATTTGAATGACATGTGTACAGTACTACATGATGTTGGATTACAGTTGAATGATACATGTATGTGTACTATATTCTTTGAAAGTATGTGTAATCACATGTTTCTGATGGTATAATAAATATGTAAATGTGTATAATTCAGCATCATTGACACTACAGTCTAAAGATTACTACTGTATGGCTTAGAAATGGTATGCAAACTCGTAATTTCAAAGTTTTATGAAAACTACAAAGTTCATGTTTACCGAAAAAATAGATATTGAATACTGTAATGTACAAACATTATCAATCTCATGTTTATTTTATACATTTTGTTGGAAGGAAAATGGAACTGCAAGTTAAATATTTATTCTACATTTCACAACCCATATATGTATATTCATGCTTTTTTAACGGAATAAAATATTCATTGTCATTCATCAAGTTATTAAATATTTTAAAAACGACCTTTACAATTTGCCTTAGGATGTGATCTACAGTGTACATGTATACACGTACATACATGTACATGTATGTATGGCTTTTGAATGAATAGAATCCAGAGAACTTGATAAAATTGGAAAGAACAAACATGAATTCAAGGAGAAAGGAAATATTACAGAACATACATACAGTGTAGGTAGATATGTGTAGAAATAGAAATGATAAAAGGGATGCAGAAAGAAGGAAGAACATGTGTGACAAATAAAACTATTCTCAGATTTGTATCTACCGTGAACTAATTGAAGTGGGGGGAAAAGAGTGCAAGTATACAAGAGAGAAAGAGCAAGAGAGAAGAAGCAGAAGAAGAAGAAGAAGAAGAAGAAGAAGAAGAAGAAGAAGAAGAAGAAGAAGAAGAAGAAGAAGAAGAAGAAGAAGAAGAAGAAGAAGAAGAAGAAGAAGAAGAAGAAGAAGAAGAAGAAGAAGAAGAAGAAGAAGAAGAAGAAGAGGAAGAAGAAGAGGAAGAAGAAGAAAAAGAGGAGGAGAAGGAAGAACATGAAGAAAAATGAATATGATAAAAGATCAAAGAGTACAAAAATGTAGAAAACGACAAAATGAATTAAACTGGTATAAAAGGAAGTCCTGTTAAGAAGACCAAGGAAGCAAAACAAGTGGGAAATTCCGATATCTTTATTTTATTTTCAAACAAAAAAACGAAAAATGTTTGGCTAAAAGTCACCTTCTACAACCCTTTGATTGAATAGAATGGATAACAGTACTGATCAATTTAACCTTCAATATCTAATAAGAGTAACCTTGCATGAATGCTTCCATTAAAAACATGGAGAGAGAAAAAATAAGAAAGCCTGCTTCAATCTCCCACATTTACATTAATATCCACATGATTTATCACATTTATTTTGGGAGCTAAATTTCCCTTCATAAACTTGCAGTTCAGACATTCTCAATTCAGATAATGTTTAGAAAATACAGAGCCTGAGAATACCAAGAGTATACATGTATCATAATATAATCAATATGATCTTTGATGAAAATTAATTTTGCATTTCAAACCTCTCCATTTTATGCAGTTTAAAATTAATGCTCAAAGACCGGGGGTCAAGTCAGAATAAAGCGGTTAACTATTTTTTTAACAATTTACAAAATCTTATCTGTGCATTTATTTGATTTCACAACAACAAAATGTGTAAGCAGCATCTAACAAAAAATTGTTTTTAAAGTTTTTAAAGCTTCAACATAACTTTCCATGTAGATTTTGCTGTAGTAAAATCTAAAATGGTCAACTTACATATATTTAGAAATGAGCATCAGATAAATTAACTTCTGTAAAAACTGACTTGAAAGTTTTTTGGGCAAGAAGCTTTTAAGTGCATTTTGCAAGTGCTCTGTAATCAAAAGTTTCCCACATGATCATGTTTATTGTTCACATTAAAGATAAAACTGTGTTTAATAGACTGGTTAAGATAAAATTATAAAAATAGTGAGCTATTACAGTACTTTATTATTATTCTTATGTTAGTTTGGACCAAACTTTCATTCTACATGCCTTTTGTGTGAACAGGTGTAGTCCCATGTACACAAACACTGTACATTTATTTCTGTGTGCAGTGCATGAGATATTCAGCAAGATTGTTAGTCATTTTCTTTTCATTTTTTATATCATTCTCCAAACCTTTACGTTATCAACTGTCCTGCTTCCCAACAGAACTTACAGCAGGAATTAAAAATAATAACTTTATCTGGAACTTACAGTATGTTGTAGGACTA